AGCTAGGGCCCCCACTCACAACCCCAGTACTGCTGCTGCTGCTGCTGCTGCTGCTGCTGCTGCTGCTGCTCATCGTGGGCTAATATAGACACCGGAGAAGGAAATTATGGGGGCGGCGAAAGGCCTAGAGAAGAAGAAGAACTGCTGCTGCTGCTGCTGCTGCTGTTATTGTTGTTGCTGCTGCTGCTGCTGTTGCTGCTGCTGCTGCAACAGCTGCTGTTGCAGCTCTGTATAGATGCCCCCAGGCAGAGGAGATGGAGCTGCTGGTTTTTTATTTTTTTTTGTTTTAAATAAATAAAAAATATAAAACAATAAAACCTATTCTGCAAATAAGACAAAAACAAACAACAAAAACAAACCGATGAGGACCTAGCAGCCTAGAGGGGCCCACCCCAGGGGCCCCTGCTGCTGCTGCAGCGCAGCAGCAGCAGCAGCAGCAGCAGCAGCAGCGGCGGCGACAGCAGCAACTGCAGCAGCAGCAATGAATCATAATCCCTTTCTTTATTTTAATTAATTAAATAATAAAAAATACCAGTTGCATGCATCCTCATCAGCATTTTCTCTATCGCAGCACCCTAGGGGGCCCCCCAACCCCAACAGAAGGCCAGCTGAAGGGGCCCCCGGGGGGCCCCCCTGCTGCGCTACATTGATTTGAGGGGGCCACCCAGGGGCCCCTAGTACTTCTGCATCTTTGGTTTAAAGAGGAGAAGCGGCAGCAGCCACAGCTTCAGCAGCAGCAACAACAACAACAACAGCAGCAGCAGCAGCAGCAGCAGCAGCAGCGGGGAGCTTCGGTGTTGTGCAGCAGCTAAACAAAGAGAAAGGACCTGGGGGCCCCCTGCCCTGCAGCAAACCCTCAGCTGTCTGATGGCTCTGCCTTGAGGGGGCCCCCCATACAGCCCGTAGTCTATGCCACTCCTACGGAGGGCCCCCTGGGGGGCCCCCCGCTGGGGGCCCCCCTGGGGGGCCCCTTGGGGGGCCCCTTGGGGGCCCCCTGGGGGCCCCCTGCTGCAGCAATCACCATCCGCAACAGCTAGTGCTGTTCGGTTTGTAGAGACGTACAGAGAGACTGGAAAGGGCCCACATGTTCCTGTTGCTGCTGCTGCTGCTGCTGCTGCTGCTTCTGCTGCTGCATTACCTGTGAGAGCAGCAGCAGCAGCAGATGGAGGAGAAGGAGCAGCAGCAGAAACAGCAGCAGCAACAGCAGCAGCAGCAGCAGCAGGGGAATATGTTGCTACTATGACGCCCTTCGTCCTCACCCGCAGCATCATCAAAGCCGCAAGGTAATGCTCAAGTCTCTGCTGCTGCTGCTGCTGCTGCTGCTGTTGCTGCTGTTGTCTCTCCAGGTGTTTTATGTTGTTGCTGCCTTTTGCTGCTGCTGCTGCTGCTTCTGCTGCTGCTGCTGCAGTTTGCATGCAGCTGCTGTGTCTCTGTTTGTCTCCTTGCTGCTGCTATCTGCTGCATTTTGCTGCAGTTTCTGCCCTCTATATATCTGCTGCTGCTGCTGCTGCTGCTGCTGCTGCTGTTCTCTATGCATCTGCTGCTGCTGCTGCTGCTGCTGCTGCG